CATGATATACGCAGGTGATGATCTCCAAAAAACGAGTGCAACGCTGTGTCGAACAGAGGAATTATAAAAAAATAATCTGATCAAGTCCACTTAGTATTACGTAATAATAATTTAAAAAAAAACAAACAAACAGGAAATTGTTGTGTTAGAGACATCATAAAATGTGTCCTGTAAATCAACCCTAGATTTACATTACCCTAAATCCACAGCGTGGTCAGTGAACATTATTGTCCCCGAGGGCAATTGCAACTGAGTAGGTTAATTTTGAACAATGAATAATACATGGCTTGTGCATTAGAATCTCAGCATTCTTGGGCGGCGTTCACTACAGGTGATTTCAAACTGCGCTTTTGTATGCAGTGCGTGTGACGTGGCTGGTAACGCTGATGAAACGTTTGCCGTAATCGTCAGTTCGAATCCCGCGTTCTATGTCTGCAATATTATGTGTATTCTTTTGTATTTAAAGCGCGGCAGTCGTCGCGCTGCGCATGTGCGACATTTGTATTGATAAACATTGATTTTCCCACAATCCAATGCGCTCTTCTAATGGAAATCACAAGTATGAGGCTTTACCTGGGCGCGACTTGCACTAATTACCGCCGGTGACTCCTTCAAAACTTTCCAATCACCTAAAAAATACCCAATTAAAGCTTCGCAACGTCTCAGTTTGTACTTGTCGATCTGCGCAACAGTCAAAGTCGCCATCTTTGTTTAATATTTCTCGCGCATGCGTCGCGCGACGAATACCGCGCTTTAAAATGAGAACGCAGTGGCTATACCAGAACACTACAATTCGGCCCCGGGGAATAATTAAGCAGACTGCATTAAACTTCTTACAGTGATAGGTTATACTGATATTAAGTAGCACATTCGTACAAAATAAGTGCTTTTAATCCGTTACTCACTCACAATATATTGCATTAATATTTACTAAAATAGCAAACAAAATCCCAGATTACCACATAAATCATCACGACATAATAACGTGCACGAATGCCTGTACTAACCGTGACAGTCTCCTGTAATAGTCTTACCTCCGCTAACTTGTCAAATCTTGCAAATAATTCATTTAGCGTCCGCACCAAGTCCTGCGCGTGAAGTTTGGAAGCCAATTGGGTGAATCCTTTGATGTCCGCAAACAGAATACTGTGAAAAAAACACGCTGTAAGTTAAAACATTGCTATTTCGGAATAAAACGATTTCTGAAAAGCAATGATATATCGACCCGAGTATGTGTTGCTATGGTAACACTGATTGCTGGAATTAGAACGATCAACAGATAAAATATGAACGTAGACAGCAATTCAATACCATAATCCAATGTTTTGAATAGACAGACATAAGCTGCTACAGAAAGTGAAACGATCTTAAGTTTAATGATGTATAGAGCCACTGTTAATTGCATGAAAAGTAAGACCAGGAAATGAAATAAATCTGTTTATCAAATCACTGGGATTTGAAACCGATTAGGATTTGTTATATTTATTTAAATTAATTACCTTGGTGAATTAAACTTGTTGCTATTTTCTACAACCAAGAAACTGGCACATTTTCATTTTCACTTTCATAAATGTTCCAAACACACTTCTTATTGGCAGACAGAAGCGATACACATATTTTTTTCTAGGCTGAATAGTACACCACACCCGACGGACAAGCATAACCGATCTGTAATCTGTATCTTACCTAACATTTTCGTATTGGTGGATGTAAATTTTGTGGAACTGAGCAGGTAGGAAACTGTCTTCTTCCATTTCGTGAGCGATGTCATTTATCATCTCTATGGCGACGAACTTGGGCAGCACAGAGAGCAAGAGTCGTTGCTAGTAGATACAGTTCATACAAAAAGAGTTAGCAGTCGACAACAAATTAAAACGTCCAAAATTAATGGTTTATATTGCGGCTTGGCTCTAAATGTCCAAGAGGGATTTTGGAAAGTAAGATTTACATTTCGAACTCAACTTATATTAATACTAGTAGAACGCCGCGGGAGAACCCCTGTTTATCACATTGCAAATGAGAAACGTGAATATGGAAACGGAAATGAACACATCATTTGTAAGGAGTGCAGATATAAAGCATGTTTCACAAGGCTCATCGCTCACCGCCGGTGCTCATGACCAAATTGTTCTGATAAAAGTAACGCTGAAATCCACTTCTTTCCGGTATAAGCGTGAGGCAAATATATGATAACTTTTGAATCTCACAGAAAAATTGCGTATACATGCGTGTTTGAAAAATCTGTATTTGTCCATTTTCTTGTGACTCAGTTTAACTACTTACACTGATTGCCGCTGCATTATCTTAGAAGCCTACTCACAAATGAAAATACCCAGAAATTTATTCATTTTGCAATAGATTGTATCACAGAGCAATATACAAATAAATCATGCACACATAGCGTTACCTGGTTTTCGTTCTCTTTCTGTAATTTGAGCCGAGCTTCGATGCATCTCCGTGTTTCTAGGAAGGCTTGTCTTAGCGTTCTGTCAGATAGATAGTTTGTGTACATGCCAGCAAAATTAGTGCATAGAAGAAGAAGAATATTTGCAGCCCACTGAAATAAAACAGATATTATTCGGGATATATAAATGTTCATGTTGTTTGATTGGCAGGATATTGGTATTGAATTCACCAAATATGTCTACATCTACCAGCGACGAATACGAAGCACGCTCGTGAGGTAAAAACGACGTAAAGGATCCGGAGTGAAATAAATGCTTACACCGATATATTCGTTCTGGCGTGTAGTCACTTGCCATTTAGAGTTTCATCGCATAATCGAGGCATTCTTCATAAGTTCGTATTTAAATTGGTATTTAAAGTGCGGTGGTCGTCGCGCAGCGCGTGTTCGAATTTTATGTAAATAAACAAAGTATTTTACACGCGTTGCATACGTCGCCATGAATCCCATATCGAACAGGACGCGACACGACGACTGCCGCCTTTTAAGGTAGCGGGACTATTATTTGCATACTTGTTTTCATCTTCTAATTGTGACTAAATGACTACAAATAGACCCGGGAAAGTAGATTTTTAGAATCGCCAGACTTCACGCTTTTCACAAGTGTATTTTGCATGCCCGTATCTGCATTCTACGACTCGTTACTCAATCAAAGGTGAAGAATTACTTTTCTGGAAAAAAAAATAATTACGCATTTATGCTGGCGATAAGAAGTATTTTTTCCACTTTTCCTAGTTGTTCAATAGTCTGGTAAATTGAATGTGTCTGGTCAGTTTTATTCAAGCAACGGGTTTTAAAAAATAGTTGCTGAATTTCAATTACTGTTTTAGTCGCATTGCCCCCAACTCAAACCACAACTCGTTAGTAAATAATCGATGAAATAGTTGTCTGGACACATTCAAGTTCCTCTCATTGTCACCTTAAAGCTGTGAAAATTTGGTGTTAATCCGACGACAATAAGTTTACGTTATTTGTTGTATTTTGAAAAACATAAACTCCTAGAAAACGTCATGAAGTAACAGCAAAGATTTTCAAGCTTGTTTATCGGCACAATCAATTTGTTTTCCTATCAAGGTCTGTTTTAACATGTGTAGGGACATCCAAAAGTGCAAGGCTATTGGAAACCAAAAAAATAAAGAAATGGGATAGCTATAACTGAATAAATTCGGCATATGAAAACACCAAAATCAATGATTTTTTTCAGTGGCTGTGTGACCTTGTGTCTGACACATTCATATGTAAATGACTAATCTGTGAAACAAACAGGGGCGGAGACAAACCACTCAAATGTTTGGAAACACTCATTGTGTGTCAGATAGCTACTGATAACACATCCTAACATTGCTTTGTCTTGAGTTTATCTTTGAAACTTATAGGCACACAGATTAAACCTGTGTTGTTGATTTTGGAAAACACTACTGAGGCTGCCTTGCTTCCCTTCAGAAAATCTACATTTTAACCAACTTACATGATATTCTATGTTATGTTGACTTTATCATATGAAAGTTTATAGTGCATTTCATCAATTAATAAATAAATGTGCAAATCGTAAATTTCAACACAAATAATAGTCTCGCTACCTTAAATTGAATAAACAAACGAAATCGAAGAAGCTTCAAAAAAACATAATGATACTTAAAGTCCTGAAGCTAGTTCATAAAAGGCCACAATTGCAACAGAGTCTACATTAGTTTGACTAAATAAAATGGTAACATTGACCTGAAAGAGTACGCTATGTAGTTTGTGGTATGATTACATGTATTCTACAGATACGGAAGTCATTAATGTGCAAATGAAATTGAGACTTGTTAATGTGCTTGATACACAACGCTTACGTGATGTTGTATTTTGCCACCCCATTTTTATAACTATATGTTATGCTTGTATTTATTTGAATATTCCAAAGTACATTCTTGTGCAAATATGAATATCATTTGCCAATAACTATGCAAATTAGTCACATGTCCATGTAATAATTTTTAGTATTTTTTAAAACAGGGGAAATCATGTAAATAACGGAGTGACGTGAACCAGCCTGTGTTTATTCTTATCAACAACTCAGAAAGAATCAAAGTTCTTTTATGAGTAGATCAATAAATAATCACGGACACACACACGATACTTCGAAAAGTTTGGAGATACAAATTTTTTTTCTTACCCAATCAAATGTTAGGTTAGTTAGTTTTGCGCATGCGATTTTTTATTAAGCGTACTTTTATTCTTATTTGATGACATTATTCAATCTTTGCATTTTATTATGCAAATGAAATTATCATTTTAGAATGCATATTTTGGCATTCGGGACTGAAAACATATTTATTTGTGAAACGTGTTCATTCACATTTCAGAATCTGCACCGCGGAGTTAATCACTTCAGGGGGCTGTACACAAACTCTCTGTTCGCATGCATCTCGGGGAATCCTTAACTATCGTTATCGACTGAGGCAGGTTACGACCCTTTGAGCAAATCAATCAACAAATCGGAAATTTGTGGATTGAAGTAGGAAACGAACACAACGAGTACATATCTTCAAAACTTCGGTGTTCACCGTTTTAATAACCTTAGTTTTCTGAAGCAACAACGAATCAATATATATGGGATTGAGTACATGTGTTTAACGCAAAATCACGAATAATTGAAATTGGATTTGCGAATCAATACAATATACAACGAAGAAGAGAATAAAAACATTAATTTATCCTTCATGAAACGTTTATTTATTACACTTAAATCATATTTTATGACTGCTAAACACCTATACATTTTCAATCGATAGTTGATCTTCTGAATTATAGAAATATATCTACTTCTGATTTGTTTGTCTCTAATGCATACCTCAATTTGATTTTTTTAATATAGTCTCAATCGGACACTCGTAGCATAGTGGTCTAAAATTCCACCTATGGTTGAACATCAAAAAACGATCGATCCCCTACTCTGGTTGAGTGCGCCACAGACTCAACAGAAAGACTAAATCCATTCACTAACGGATACGACTTTGAAGAAACCATGATAAAGGTTCACGGGGGCTTGTGTTTAACCGAGCATGGTTGATGCCTGGATAACCCATTAATACGCGGTGGTCGCCACGCGGCGTGTATTCGAATTTCATGTAAACAAACAATGTAATTTACACGCGTTGCGTACGTCGCTTTGTTCCGCGTCGAACAGGGCGCGGCGTGACGACCATGACCACCGCCGTTTAAATTGCCATTAACCGTTATGATAGAAAAACGGTCAGCCCTGTCACGTTGTCCCAATCATGTAATATGATTTCTGTGGCAAAATACATTACATGTCAGCACACATAGGTTTAAGTCCAATAAAAGTCAGAAGAGACAACAGTGACATTCAAATCCCGGAAATGTCGACTAGCACAGAAATATTTAAACAAAAAGTAATTACAACCTTATGTTAAGTATGGTGTATTCCAATACCCACGATTACTCTAATCCCCCCATTAGTAAAATTGACTTATATTTGTAGTGTTGTGAAGATTATGTTGAATGTAATATCCGCGTTAATACATACATTTGACGATAACAAAAAACGTGTTTTAATGAGTTTCTTACTAAGTTACCTACTTAGATGTTTTTTTCAGAAGGAGGTCCGCGTAATTGCCCATGGACAATAAACCGGAAAACCGGACTAATTTACAAATAGAGCTTAGCTTGACCAAAATAGTTCCAAAATCCGGATGATGCATCCTTATACTAGCGATGTTTGAAAAGTTGGGACAGCTGAATACACCCTCTGCAGTTCAACACACATATACATGGAATTGGTTATTCTGGTTTTGTAAGCAGTAAAAAATGTTTTCGTAATAAGGCGCCTTAATAGAAACAATCATAGAAATACGAAACTGCTCTTTGATTTATTTTGATTTGCCCCCCCCCATTGGCAAATGAATGACATAGTGGGTAAAACAAAACCCTATAGACTAACTTACAACAAACTCGGTATAAATATATAAAATGAAATTGAATGCACATAATTTAGTATACTGAAGCGTACTAGTAATACGCATGGTGGATGGAAGATACATAATAATTTAGCGATGACTCTAAGAAAAGTAGTGTATGGTACATGTATATGTACACTATGAATTGCTTTATAATGACTTCCAGTTGTTCTCGTAATTGAATTCTGAAATAAAATACTCTAACGCAAAGCTGTGAGACTGGATGACAAATCATTACAGCAACGCTATATCTGAACTGTACCTTGCCTTGTACGGACATTTAGCGTTAAATAGTATGAGGTTTAAATATTAATTTGAATTTCCGCCAGTAATCGATAATGGACGTTTAGAATTAATGTTAATATTCGCCCGAATACCGGAGGTAATTTCAATATATTCAGTCAGAGTCACATATTTTAGCGTACACTTTTCAATCTGTACCCCAATACCTCGAAATCTCCCGAAAACAAATAAGACCTTTCTTTCTAATTCAAAACGATTAATGGCCCATACTCTACTGTAACTGGCAATCTTAAAACAGGCTACATAAACAAATTTAAGTAAGTTTTACGTAATTTGAAATTGATGCCATTGAAGAATAATCGGTGATTTTGTTTTTCTCGAAAAGAGTATTTGCGAGTGTGAAATTGTATAGCGGCTCCAACATAATAATATATACAAAAGAAATTCTCAAAAATTGTAATGTTGTTGCGAAAAACAAACTGTCTTAAATAATCTAATGATTTGATGAATAATTAAACATCAAACATTGATAGTTTCTGTGCTTACTTTTTACAGATTGAATATATAAATAAACCATCATGATCGCAATTCGTCCAGTATGAACAAAATACAGAAAAGAGAATATAAGGTTACAAGACAATCCAAACCGTACTCTCATCCCTTTTTTAAAAACATGTAGACATCGATGCATGTACTGATTATGCATTAGTTATCTGCGGAATGCTGGGGAGTTCGTGGAATTAATTGACATGACACGAGTATTACGTTACACCATCACTATCGATGCAAAGGCGAGATGTGGACAAGGAGAATGCTATATTCATGTATCAACGCAGTAAATAAAACGATGCAAAATTTATTTTGCCTAGCAGGATATCTACACGGTTG